CATTATTCTATTTCAATTCCTTTGCAAACCAAATAGACCAATTTCATTTCAATGCTACCAATCAAACACTTGGTTAAAACTGATAACATTCTATTCCCACTCCTCAGATATTCCAATTCCTTTGACAGATTACATTTCTTCAGAAATCATTCTGCGAACCAAACATCCTCTTAGGATCCGTTTGGTTTGTAGGAATGGAATGGATTTGGATTTCAAATCAATTCCAATCTTCTGTTTGATTTGTAGGATTTGTTCAGATTTGAAATCCTACGATTTATTTGAAATCCTCAAACATAGGATTTTGAAATCTCATGAGGATGGTTGAGATTTCAAGGGATTTCGTAGGATTTCTATATAATAATGTTTTAAAATATGTTGAAGACTCTTGTTTTCTAATAATTTATTAATAAAAGGTGATTTAATTATTTTTAAATATGTTTTTATAAATTATTTAAAAATAATGGAATTCCATTTCATTCCATTCCAAATCTATCAAACTGAATACACCAAGATTCCAATTCCAAATCCCTTCACAAAATCCATGGTGGCGTTTGGTTCGCATAATGTTTTTGAATGGAATGGAATCTGTTAAAGAAATTTGACTTTGAGGTAGCGTTTGGTTCGTAGATTCTGGAGGAATCTGATGGAATTGGAATGTTGAATTCCATTGACCAAATTTCATTCTCTCGTTTAGTTCATTCTTTTTCATGAAAAGAATCTTCAAAATCCTACAATTTCCACAAATAAACGAATTTAACATTCCTTAGCAACTACATGGTATTTTGATGGAATGGAATCTCTTTCTTCATTATATCAAATATGCCATTAACCTAATATACTCTAATCTCATAAAACTCAATATAACCATCGTTGACCACCTCCGTCCACTATCGATTTGAACCACCCTGACCACCACCACCGACCACCACCACCGACTACAACCGATTTGAACCACCGTCGACCGCCACGACCGACTACCACCAATCTGAACCACTGTCGACTACCATCGATCTGAACCACTGCCGACTACCACCGATCTGAACCACCGCCGACGCCACCACCGATCTGAACCACCGCCGACCGCCACCATCGATCTGAACCACCGCCGACCGCCAAACCACTGCCGACCACCACTACCGACATGAACCACCGCCGACCCCCACCACCGACTACCACCGATCCGAACCACTGCTGATCTAAACCACTACTGACCACTACCAATCTAAACCACCATGCTGATCTAAACCACCGCTGACCACTACCGATCTGAACCACCATCGACACCGTCGATCTAGGCCACCACTGATCTGATTCATTATCAGTTTGAACCACCGCCGATAACCGCCATCTGAACCACCATGGACCACCACTGATCTGAACCACTACCGACTATCGTCATCTGAACCACTACAGACCACCATCGATCTGAACCACTACGAACTACTATTGATCTAAAGCACCGCCAATCTAAACCACCATTGACCATCACCTATCTGAACAACCATCGATCTAATCCATCGTCGATCTGAACCACATCCGACCAACGTCACCTGAACCACAACAGACCATCATCGATCTATATCACTGCCAACCACCGACGACTACCATCGATCTGAATCACCGTCGGGCGACCACCACCAATTTGAACAACCACCGCCACCACAGCCTACCTGAACTACCACAGACCACCTCCATCTAAACCACTACGGACCACCACTGATCTGAACCATCGCCAACCACCGTCGATTTAGTAACATCGTTTGGCTTATGGTTATATTTAGGTTGTGTATTTTATATATTAAATAATTATTTTATTAAAGTATTTTTAATTTTAAAAAAAATAAATTTTTCAAAAAAGGGCGTTTTGGTAATTTACCAATATTTTATTCCAATTCTAAAGCTACATTCTGTGAACCAAACAGATAGATCCCAATTTCTTAACATGTTCCATTCCAATGTCTGCCAACCAAACAGGTAGTCAAATCTGACAACATTTCATTCCAATTCCTTTAAAGTCAAATTCTTTTAACATATTTCATTCCATCCGAAAACATTCTGCGAACCAAACGCCACCTGAAGGAATTGGAATGGAATGTTGTCAGATTTGACAACCTGTTTGGTTGGCAAACGTTGGAATGTAATATGTTAAGGAATTGGAGTATGTCTATTTGGTTCATGAAATATAGCTTTAGAATTGGAATAATATATTGGTAAATGACCAAAATGCCATTTTTTTGGAAATTTTAATTTTTTTAAAACTAAAAACACTTAAATAAAATAATCATTTAATATGTAAAACAATATAAAAGACACAACCGAAATATATCATAAGCCAAACGACGTTACTAAATCGACGATGGTCGGCGGTGGTTCAGATCGATGGTGGTTTGTGGTGGTTCAAATGGCGATGGTCGACAATGGTGCAAATCGGTGGTGGTCCATGGTGGTTCAGATGGCGGTTATCGACAGTAGTTCAAATTAACAGTGAATCAGATCAGTGATGGCTCAGATCAGTGGTGTCCGATAGTGGTTTAGATTGGTAGTGGTCAGCGGTGGTTCAGATCAGCAGTGGTTCAGATCAGCGGTGGTTTTTATCGGTGGTCGGCAGTTGTGGTCGGCGGTGGTTCAGATCGGTGGTAGACGGCGGTGGTTCAGATCGATGGTAGTCGGTGGTGGTGGTCGGCGGTGGTTCAGATCCGTGGTAGTGGGCGGTGGTTCAGATTGGTGGTAGTCGGTGGTGGTGGTCGGCGGTGGTTCAGATCGGTGGTAGTCGGTGGTGGTGGCGGTGGTGGTTCAGATCGGTGGTAGTCGGTGGTGGTGGTCGGCGGTGGTTCAGATCGGTGGTGATCGGTGGTAGTCGGTGGTGGTGGTCGGCGGTGGTTCAGATCGGTGGTGATCGGTGGTAGTCGGTGGTGGTGGTCGGCGGTGGTTCAGATCGATGGTAATCGGTGGTGGTGGTGGTAGGCAGTGTTCAAATCGGTGGTAGTCGGTGGTGGTCAGCGGTAGTTCAGATCAATAATGGTCGAAGGTGGTCGACGATGGTTATATTGAGTTTTATGAGATTAGAGTATATTAGGTTAAGAACATATTTGGTATAATGAATATAGAGATTCTATTCCATTAAAATATCATGTAGTTGCTAAGGAATGTTTAATTTCTTTATTTGTGGAATTTGTAGAATTTTGAAGATTTATTTCGTGAAAAAGAATGAACCAAACGAGGGAATGCAATTTGGTTAATGGAATTCAACAATCCAATTCCATCAGATTCCTCCAGAATCTGTGAACCAAACACCACCTTAGGGTCCATTTGGTTTTGTAGGTATGCCAAGTAATTTTTAAATATCGCTTATCGTAATGTTTTTAAATATTTGAATTTTAATGTTAAGTAATTTCTATTTTTCAAAAAATATAACGTGAACTTTAAGATGACAACTTAAATGAGGGGATTTTATAAAGCATTTTAAATAGATGATGATAGATTATAATATAATTAATAAAAAAAAATTCGGAAAGGTTTTATATTGGAGAAGATTTATAAAAATAGGTTTCTACTAAAAATATGTTAGTAAAAGAATGATGTGAAAAAAATAATAATAATTGTAGCTTATTTAAAAGAAAAGAAAAATGGAAATTGAATTTCTTTTGTTTTGTTTTGTTTTGTTTTTCATATCCAATGAATCTATGCATTTATAAGAAGTAGAAGGAAAAAAATATAATAATTGGGGAATGGTGGGTGTGACATTTTCTGTTTGCCCTTTATACCCCTCATACCAGAGATCCGTGTCTGCCCAATGCAAGTGTTTCTGATGATTGATATGTCCAAGATTGGAAATTTATACTTTATTGACTCTTTCAAACCTATGTTCCTTTCCTCCCTTAAACATTCATCCAATGCTCTCATATAACCCTCCATCTAAATTTAATTTAAACCCTAACTAAACAACATCAAGTAAGATTCAAGATTTACACCAAAGGCAAAGGCTGGAGTTATAATGAATAGCCTGAAAACACCAAGTAAGTGAAACTCTTAATATTTACAAGGACATCTCGGTCAACCGTATTATAGGTCAAAGAGAGTGGACACATATCATCGTTCGTTACCGTAAAGGCGTAAACGTTATTTGATAAGAAACAATTAGTAAACAACCATTTCGATTTGGGTGTTTTTGAGATATTTTTTGTTGGAAGGAGAAGTGATGGGAATGTAATGGGTAGATTGAGGGGGTGATGTGCAATATTGTTGTGGTGTGGATAGAGAAAGTCAAGAGGGGGAGGAGATGGGTGAGGGTGAGTAGTAAGCTGGTCAGCACCCAAACTTCCACCACCACCACCACCTCCACCTCCTCCTCCGTTCCTTCTTGGCAATAACACGGGAGGCTTCCTATTTTACATAAATTTTATAGTTGTCAACACCCACCCAATATTCACAATCATATTCATATCCACCACCATCATCCATAATCTTCTTCTTCTTCTTCTTCTTCTTCTTCTTCTTCTTCTTCTGATTCTGACCCTGATCGCTGCTTCAGTTTTATATTCATCCATCAGGTACTTTTGCTAGATCTATCTCTATTAACTGCAAACTCCGTACTTACTTCATTCACTTCCCACCTTTTTTTCTCTTCTTTTTAACAATTTCTCACATGGGTTTCCTATGAAATCAGCAACCTTGAAAGCTTTCTCTTCATTTTCAACAAGTTTTCTCAGATGGGGTTTTTGTGATGAACTTAAGATTACTTATCCGATCTGTCACGAGATCTTTTTATTAAGAAAAGAAAGGTCTTTTATTGTGTCACTTTAGTTCTTCTATCTTTATGCTTTATTTTGTTCAGCAACTAACAGGATAGAAAAAGATTTCTTGATGGAATGCCTGAGTTTGTGATCTGAGGATATTTGTAGAATTTGACCATTCTTTTTGCAGCAAATTTGATGAGAACAAGAGTGGATGACAGAAAGGCTTGTAATCTTTGTTTGTGTTAAGGATTCTTGATTGTTTTTATGGGCAACACATGCCGTGGATCTTTTGGAATAAAAAACACACAGGGCTTCAATAAGCCTGAAGACCAATCTATTTCCGCACAAAACCCTTCTAACAACTCTTTGGATTACTCACCAACTACCTTGATCTCCCAACAGCTTATAGCCCAAGAATTTTCCAAGGATCCCAATCCCAAACCCTTACCTGTTCCTAAGAAAGAGGTCATCATGAGCCGCCATGGGAACTCTAATCAAGCATACTATGTTCTTGGTCATAAAACCGACAACATTCGTGATGTCTACACTTTGGGTCAGAAGTTAGGCCAGGGTCAATTCGGCACCACCTATTTGTGCACAGAAATTTTAACTGGTGTAGATTATGCTTGTAAATCAATTTCGAAGCGGAAGTTGATTTCCAAAGAGGATTTGGAGGATGTTAGGAGAGAGATTCAAATAATGCACCATTTGGCAGGACACAAGAATATTGTCACCATTAAGGGTGCATATGAAGATCCTCTTTATGTTCATATTGTTATGGAGCTTTGTAATGGAGGAGAATTGTTCGATAGGATCATTCAGAGGGGACATTATAGTGAGAGGAAGGCTGCTGAGTTGACAAAGATCATTGTGGGCGTGGTTGAGGCATGCCACTCACTTGGGGTTATGCACAGAGACTTGAAACCCGAGAACTTCTTGTTGGTTAACAGAGATGATGATTTCTCACTCAAGGCTATTGATTTCGGACTCTCCGTTTTCTTCAAGCCAGGTAAATTTAGGCTTTTAAGCTAGTTGTTGGCTGATAAACTAGTCATTTTTTGGTAAAACTTAGTTGATAATAAGCTAGATAACAATGTAAAATGACTTAAAAGTGCATGTTTGAAAAATTAATTAGAAAAGTATAACAGGCATAATTGGAAAAAAGTGGGAGAAAGCTTATTGGAACACTAGTTGAAGTGGCGTTTCAAAAAGCTTGATTATGACGAAACAAATAGGGTCTTTTAAATAAGCTAGCTTATGGTTGCCAAACATGGGTTTAGTCTAGCTGGTTTCAAGAGCTTGTGGTTAATGTGGTGCTATCATCTGACTCCCAATGTGGTTGTGGTTGGTTCAGGTCAAATTTTCACAGATGTGGTAGGAAGCCCATATTATGTGGCTCCTGAGGTGCTTTTGAAGCATTATGGTCCAGAAGCAGATGTGTGGACAGCCGGCGTGATACTTTACATACTACTAAGTGGTGTCCCTCCGTTTTGGGCTGGTACGTACGTGTTAAGCATGCAGCAGAAATGTTCATTTCATCTTTGTGTGGTGGATTTTATCATCAAGAATGCTCACTTTAGTATTCTTTTCTGTAGAAACACAACAGGGGATATTTGATGCAGTTTTGAAGGGATATATAGACTTTGAATCAGACCCGTGGCCCCTTATATCTAACAGTGCAAAGGATCTTATTAAGAAGATGTTATGCTCTCGACCCTCAGACCGCCTAACTGCTCATGAAGTTCTCTGTATGTTCTACTTTTCTGAATCATGTTATCTTAGAATGTCTTGTGTTTTTTGGTTGCTTGTTTTTGTTCTTGTGTGGAACAAACATTAATTCTAGTTGTTTGTTGCCAACTTACCATCATCATTATCAGCTTCAAGATTATTTATGCAGTTATCGGAATTGTACAGGTCATCCTTGGATTTGTGAAAATGGTGTTGCTCCTGATAGAGCACTGGATCCAGCAGTTCTTTCTCGTTTGAAGCAGTTCTCTGCAATGAATAAGTTAAAGAAGATGGCTTTGAGGGTATGTGCATACTACTGAATGTAAACATTTATTTGAAAAAGCCATGTTTGATTTATGCAAAAGCGATGCTGAATGTTTTTTCCCCTCCAGGTTATAGCAGAAAGCCTGTCTGAAGAGGAGATTGCTGGTTTGAGAGAAATGTTCAAGGCAATGGATACTGATAACAGCGGTGCAATAACATTTGATGAACTTAAAGCTGGTTTAAGGAAGTTTGGTTCTACGTTGAAAGATACAGAGATACGAGATCTTATGGATGCAGTAAGTGTTAATTATTGATATTGATATTGATATTGGTATTGAATTGTGTTGTGTTAGGTGATGATGTGTGATGTGGGTGGTTTTCAGGCCGATGTGGACAACAGTGGGACAATTGATTATGGAGAATTTGTGGCTGCTACGATTCACCTCAACAAACTGGAACGAGAGGAGCACCTTGTGGCGGCATTCCAGTATTTTGACAAAGATGGAAGTGGTTATATAACAGTTGATGAGCTTCAGCAAGCTTGTGCGGATCACAATATGACTGATTTTCTTGTAGAGGATATCATCAGAGAAGTTGACCAAGATAACGTAAGTCCTCGTATCCCTCCTCCTCCATGGTTAATTAATCGAGTATCATCTGCTGTTTCCTTATCAATAAATATAATATTGGGAAATTTGAATGATACAGGATGGGAGGATTGATTATGGGGAATTTGTGGCCATGATGACAAAAGGAAATGCAGGTGTTGGAAGAAGAACGATGCGCAACAGTCTGAATATGAGCATGAGAGACGCACCAGGGGCTCTCTAGCCAGTATTTCCTTTCCACACAGGTAACTCCCAACAGTCTGAATATTTGACATTATCAATAATAGTTTATATTCTTGTATGCATACAAATTGCAGATTGTACAGCAGGATGATAATAGGCAATTGAGCTTTGATTTAATGGTTGCTGAAGAATTGGATGGCCGTCGACGTTTGATGCTTTGTTTTATGTTGGTGTATTATGTGAGAACTTAATGAGTGCACAGTTTCTTGTTCTTCTTTCTTGTTGTTTTTGTTGTTGTTCAAATTCTTGCAAGTGGTACAACACTTTCACTTATTGCTTAATTTTAATAGCTAGTTGAATCAACTAAACTTATTATACAACTTCATATGTTTCTTTGCTTATTATATACAATATCAAACAAAAACAAGCACATCAAAAAGAAAATTCATTTTATTCTATCTACTTATTGTAAGCAAGTTTGACTATTCAAACTGCAATTCCAGCTTCAAGCACGAACAGCTGTTAATAGAATTCATTATACACCCATTGAAGGTGCTATACTCCTGATCCTGGAGATGAAGCTTCCAATGAAGTTACGATCTCCTGCAAAAGAATCCAAGATGCATACTTATTAGAATTATATAGCAATAGCAATGATAAACGACAGAGTACTTAACGAAGAAAAGCATATACTTTTAACTCCGCGTTTCTTGAAAAGATGCATTTTGATGTGATACCGTGCCCTGCTTCCAACACCCATCCCACCTCGCACCATATATTTTCTCCGTCTTCTGTTTCTTTCACTGAACTCCACAAGTTCTTTGGGAGCAATACCACATGCTCTTCATCTCTTACCAATTTCTCTACGCCATCAACTTTTATGAGTTGTTGAAGAAAGCTCTGCCATGATTACAGACGAATTCAAGTGGTTAATTAACGAAATCAAAGCATACCCATCAATTAAAGATGCAAATTTGTTCTGATAAACTCACATTGGAAGAGTCTTGGAAGCTGGCTTTGGAGCTTGAACATTGCCACACACCTGAAACTTGTGAACTTTGAAGTGCTTGTGTCGAAGCAAAAGCAGAATCACGGATGGCACATCCACCTAACTGATCCCCGTTTCTAAATGGACCATACCATTGTTCGACAAACACTTTAATGTTCTTCAACACTAACCTCTTGTTTTCATCAACACCTATAATTTGAATGATCCTCACACGCGACTCTTTATCACGAGGATCGATCAAACAATGCTCCAACTCGAATACTCTTGATGAACCCGTTGACCAGACAGCCGTATAGCATCCAGTGGATTGGTATGCAAATGCGGAAACCATGTTATCTGTACCTCCTATACTCCTCTCATCGATGCTAAACCGAGTGGCAGCATCAGCTTCGCAACCAACTGTAGGAAGCAGCTTTATTAATTTGTATATGGCGTTGGAGTTGTCTGGTTGAGCAAGAGTCGGGCATTGAGTCTGCCAATCGAACACTTTAACCTCCCAATCTCGATAAGCATCCGGAACTACGTTTTCAGGAAGCTCGATTGGCTTGCCATCTAGGGTGAAATCAGCTCCAAAGCCATCCCATTCTCCAGAAATATTACGAGCAAACTCAGACCAGCATTCTTTTTCAGTTATCATCATAAAGAAATAAGAACATCAGAAAAGAAAATTAATCTAGAATTCCAATCTTGATAAAATCATTCAGAAAAAGTAAGCAGTTGGAATAAAAAAAATAGAATCATTAATTAGAAACAGTTAGGAATTGTAAAGAAAGTAGGTATGAAAGAGGAGATTACCGAGGGTGCTGTGTTGATGAATGAGGGCGGCGTTGGGAGTGGCGGCAGTTGCAGACATGATGGAAGCAGGACGTGGAAGATTGAATCGGAGAGATGGGTATTGAAGGTTGAATTGGGATATGGAAAGGGGTAGGGGTGTGGGTTTTAGGGTTCTATGGTGGATTGCCATGAGTGTGGTGCCAACCACAACCACACCCGCCATCTTCGGTTTTCCTTTTGAGAAGGGAGGTTTATTGCTTGTATTGTATATAAGAAATGTGCGGTTGGAATGGATTCCGGTTCTTGGTGGCGGCCATCTGAAAAATCTGATTGTCAGTTAAGTTACTCACTCGTGGATTTGTTCGTTAAGTAGATTCTCATGATTTTTTTTTTGACGAAAATGATACAATTTAATTATTCTTTAGACATTGGATTTTTACAATCTAATCTAAAAAAATTGAATTTTAAAAAATCTGATATCCAACACATTTCAACCAAATACAAATATCACATAAAACAAAATTCAAAATAACAATAATTTTGAGTTGACCCGTTCATTTGATTTGGATTTTTAACTCTCTAAACAATTCAATTAAAAATTAAAATTTGAAATTATTTTAACATGATTACAATTAGATATTCGATTCAAAATGTATTAAATGAACATTTTTTTTATTAGACCCTTTGGTATAACTTCACGTTGGCTGGTTCTTAGCTAAAGTATAATCCTCAAATTCTTTTAAAAATAAAAAAGCAAATGAAATTGGACTGTTTTGAAAGAAATATTGAAATCAGGAGAAAAATGTCATGTTCGAAAAGTTAAAGGTCAAAAGACAAATCCCAAATTAGAGGGACCCGTTTTACCAGAAAAAGGTAACAAGATTGAAGTCAAAGGTTGGAACTTGGAAATCATGATATTTTTACTTGTTGGTCAATTTCTGAAGTTAATTAGTTTGTTGTTATTGCTTGAGTCAAACTTTCAACAATTACTTTAAAAATACACATACTATTTTTTAAATATTTATACTTAGTTTTAAGTAAATAAAAGTTTAGCGTAGCAATCTTAATCCAATAATACACCAAAACCAATTAACTATGTCAAATGAAACTCGAAATATTCCATTTTTAGAGTTCCAAACAAGATATTGACACTCAAGGGAATTAACAGCACGACTAGTTAAGATTGAGTTTATGTCTAAAAGGGAGTTTGATTTATCAAAAAAAAATCACAAATTGTAGTTAAAGGCATGTTTAGAATCAAATTTAAGTCTTCTCACCTCTTGCATGTATGTTGACTAAGAGGTTGTTTCCTAGTGGCTGACTAGCCTAACTCGATCAACAAATTTGACTCGGTTCGGTTATCAGTCGACGTGTTTACCAAATCACATATCTGACTGAGATCTGAATGAGATGCTTATCGAAATCTTACCGAATCAGGGTCAAATTTATGTTTACACGGGTCAAATCCTTTCTTTCTATACTTGCCCCCCTTTTTTGAGATTAGGTTTCAGCCCCATACCTCCCTCCTCCCTTGTTGCTACCGCTCGTCATTCCTCCTCCACTGCTCGAGAAGATATATTTTGTTTAAACTGATCGATTTATGCCAATTTCATTACATTTATTGGGTTTTTACATGATGAGGAGACCACAACTCCATTTCTGGTGCTTAAATTAACCTAGCATCAAGTGAAGAACACCAACTTTTCAGTCTCTGGACCAACACAGTCATCCGCCTTCAATACCTGTTGACTAATGGTACTTCAATAAAGGTACAAAATGTCTTTCTCTAAAAACCCAAATTGAAAAACCTCATTTTGAGACACCAAGTTGTTGCTTTTACCAGTATCATCAAGATTTCTTTGAGAATCATAACCAACCTTTGAAATTTCAAAACCTAGAGGAGTTTAGAATATGAATATGAATCAACAAAACCCACAAAGAAAAAAAAGAGCCTACCTCAAACCAAGCGAGATTGAAAGCAAGCATAAGCTCGCCAATGAGCGCATGTATAATTAACCAAAGGAGCTATGTCAAACCTGGGCAATGCGAGACCAAGTGTGAGTTTAGGATCCCTCTTTCAATGTCATGTCTAGCTCCTATGCAATCGTGTTTTGAACACTTTGAGTATGGTTCCAACGTGAAATAGTTTTTAGTAGTAATTTCGACACTTGTGTATATTATGATATAAAGGTGCTCTCAAAAGTAGCATACTTGCTCCATTTTAAGTTTAGTACACTCTGGTGATATTTTCATGCATTTTTTCAAATGATTACTGGCATGTTTTTAGAAATATGTTAATGTTATGTGTTACATTTGATTCATTGTTTTATCGTGTTACCATTATGTAAAATTTTTAGCATAAAAAAGTGTTTTCTACATGTGTACAAACACAAACGTCAAGGTGACAGTATAAATTCAAATAGGAGAAACTCTAGTTTGGGCAGGGTTATGCCTAAAGGCCCTTGTACGAAGTCAAGTGAGCAGAGTAGTAGGTTCATGCACTATACAAATTAGTAAGCTCTTATACATCATATGCTTTAGAGTAAAAAAAAAACTTGGTCCCCTAACATTTGCCAATTTCAACGGTTTTTCATCCCTCAACTTTATTTTAACAAATTTGTCCCTCACGTTTGGCACCTTGCAACGGTTTTCGTTCCTCATCCTAGCGACTATTAAGTCCAATATAATGAGAAGTATTTTAGCATTTTATCTGGTTTCTTGATTTTCTTGTTCTTATAAAAAATATCAAACTTTAAGGACCTATTACATAATTATATCAAACATAATGTATATATAGACAGAAGGACCAGTTCGCCGGGGACCCGCTTCTCTTTTGTAATCTACCGATTACACATGGACTAAACCCATCTTCAATTACACAAAGCTCTTGTCGATTACACAAGGACAAAAACTCTTCACCAGTTACACAAAATCTAAATCAAACCTCAGATCCAAAAATCAAAATCAAAATTGAAATCCAAAAACAAAAATAGAACCAAAAACAAAATCAAAATGAACATCACCTCGAACCCCTAAATGGACCAACAACTGATAAACTGTAGTCCAAACTTAAATCAAAATGAAAGTATAACACATATTCAAACCCTAACTAATCGATGTTTGCAGGGACGAAATGGTGAGGAGAAATCAAGAGGGATGAGATGCAGCGATTTATTAGAGATGGTGTGTGGGTTTTGCCGGCATTTTCTAGGAATAGGACAATCGGTGGTATGGATAGTGGATGGAGAAGAGAGGTGTTGATCCTCTCTCTCAGTGATTTGATGATAATCCATTTTCTCTTTCACGCTGTATTTGTGTTTCTGTATTTTCAGTTCCAGCGATCTTCACTGAGTATGTTCAGTGATCGCTRAAGAACTTGCATTGTAAATCTATCAGAGACAGCAATACTTCAAGAAGACAACACTCACACCAAAGAACCTTCAGCAAACGTTGAAGACTGAAACTAAAGATTAGAGACCGGCGAGTACGTGATCTGAAGTGGTATTCAGTGATTACAAGCCTGTCTATATATGTGTGAAGACTGCTCTAGCTTCAGCGAATGATGATGAGACCTTCAGGTCATTCCAGCATTCAGCGATCAAAGGAAGCTTGCTTAGCACGATTGTTGTTGTCTTGTCCTTATGCACACAAAGGACAAACTCACACCCTTACAAAAGTTAGTACGGTACGGAGCCGATTAGTCGACTCTTTGTCCACCAACTTTAGGTAAGGATGTCTTCTCAGAAATAGTGCTTTTGTACTATTCACTGTAGCAAAGGACAAGCCTTCCTCTTAAGGTTTGACAYGCACTCTAAACCTACCATATTGCATTAAATGRWCATTTAATGCACTGSGTATAAATAGAAGTGTTTCTTCTCCATGCAGAGAGCGCGCATCTCTCTCTAACCTTATTCTTACTTTAAGCATCTTCTAGCTTAAGTAAAGGATCTTTCTTTTAGCAACTTTTTTTCTTGTAACTGCTAAAGCTTTGTTTGTAACCAAAGATTATTTAGATAGGTTTTTATTACCTTATCTTTCCGCAAACAATCTTGTAAAATCTGTATTGATCTTCTYTATCAATATATATTTTAAATTTGAAAATATTATGTTTGTATTCATACCCCTCCTTCTACAAATTGTTTCTCTTCTTGTAGACCCTTACGGGACCAACAAGTGGTATCAGAGCAGTGTTTTCTTTCTTTCCTTGTGTATGGCTAATTTTTTGTATTAATTTAACTCTTCTTAGATAACTTACTGCTTACAAATGACTTTACAAATTACAAACACACACACACAAAAGATAATGACTCTCTTGCCAAACCTCCCCGGTTTGTCCGTGACAATTTTAGTCTCTGGAAGAACCGGATGTCCCTCTTTCTGGAAGGTGTGGATCCTGAAATTCTACACTACATAGAAAATGGACCATATATTCCATTTGCTATTGTTCCGGCTGTTCCAGAAACAGCTACGACTGCCGCAAATCTTGAACGGCAGATTCCAAAGCTTCCACATCAGTGGAGCGATGCGGACAAGAAGAAAATAGCTATAGACACGCATGCTCGGTCTATAATAGCTATGTCTCTTCCTGATGAGATCTATCACTTAGTGATGAAACTCAAAACTTCTAAATCCGTATGGGATACTCTTTGTGTCCAATATGAAGGAACCACTCAGGTTCAGGAGACTAGAAAGATCAATCTAGTAAGACAGTATGAAAGCTTTCTCTGTGGAAAGTCCGAGACACTGTCTGAAGTACATCAAAGATTTAATTGCCTTCTTATTAATCTTAGGGCTGTTGGCAGGGAATATTCTAATTCTGAAACCTTGACTAAGTTTCTAGAATGCCTTCCTGAGTCTTGGGACACCTTTTCCATGTGTCTCAAGATGTCAAATGACATGTCCACTCTTTCTTTTTCTACCTTATACGGGATTCTGCTTAACCATGAGCAATCTCGTCAAGTGAAAAGAAATCTTGTAAAATATTCCAGGGAAATGAAAAGCTCTTCTTTATCCTTGATCTCTGAAGCTTCTTCAGTTGAAACTTCTACTCCTTTTGTTTCTTCTCTACCTCCCGTGGTCATCACGGAAATAGATTCTTCTGAGGACATTCCAGAATCTGATTTAACAGATTTTGATGAGTCCTTGGCACTCCTGACTAAGTCATTCAGGAGGTTCGCCAGCAAGAGCAATTTCCGCAGATCTCCTCAGCTATCCCTAAAGGAGAAGCCAAAGTCTG